CCTACATAGTGCTTTTCATCAGTAGATTTCAAAGCACTTTACATTTTACTGATGGGGAAGCTAAGGCACAGGGAGATGAAGTGACTTGCCCAAGATCAGTGGCAAAATTGGGCTTAGATCTCCTGAGTCACAGTCCAGCACTTTATCCACTAGACCCCACTGTCTAGGAATTAACTTTTTATGTAATGGGGAAAAAAGGGGAAGTTGATTGCAATTATGATCAATTAGCAGTTATGAAATGCAGACAGTGATAGGGAAGCTAAATGTATCACTGAAAAATCTATGTCCAATAGAGTTAAGGTCAATAAGAAGGAATACTAGAACATATATTAGTGTGATGATCTGGGAAGTCTGTCCATCTATGAATTCTGCTTGATACTATGAACTCGCTGTATGTAGCTGTATTTTTGAAAAAAGACGCCAGATGTGTAGAGCCCTGTAAATCTGCGGATAGCCGCTTTATATCCGCAGACCATGTTTGCAGATCGGACGCGGATATACATTGTGTATCCACGCAGGGTTCTACAGGTGCGATCCTGGCAATTACAAGCTGGTAAGCCTTCCTTCAGGACTAGGCAACTGATTTAAAGGATAGAATTGTCACATACATAGATGAACATGGTAAGTTGGGGAAGAGTCAACATGGCTTTTGTAAACGGAAATCATGCTTCACCTATTCTATTAGAATTCTTTGAGGATGACAACAAGCATGTGGACAAGGGGGATCCAGTGGATGTAGTGTACTTGGACTTTCAGAAAGCCTCTGACAAGCTCCCATACCAAAGGCTCTTCAGCGAAGTAAGCAGTCCTGGGATAAGAGGGAAGGCCCTCTCATGGATCAGTAACTGTTGGAGATGGAAGTAACAGCCTTATATTGGAGTGTATTTCAATAGTATTATGGGTGATGTGAAGGTCGCAAGGAATGCAGGTCAGTTTCTCCTAGGTATATCTCACCAAATCAATTCCCTAGTATTGCAATGGCTTGGGCACTGGTGCGCCTCAGTCCCACCTATTCTCTGCCTGTGGCACACAGTCGTTTAGTCTCTGGAGGGCTGTAATACTTTTGTCTAATCCAGGTTATTGTGCTCACTATACGGGTAACTGAGTGGGGTTTAGTGACCTGTGATGTGCAGGAGGTCAGGCAAGATGATCTGTGGTCCCTTCTGGCTTTAACCTCTGACTCTATGATTAACCTTAAAAGCATGGAAATCAGAAGTTTGGGGTCAGTGGAGTCTGTCCTGATGCAACCTTAATTGGCACCTAAATTGTTGGTGTTATTTATATTGACTCCACCAAATCCAGAGGAAATGCATGCGTGGATTTGCCGCCTTGGGTTTGTGGTAAATCTGGATCACATTCAGGCTTAATCAGTTCCTGTTCTCAGCTCTCCCTTCCTCTGCAGAAGGCCCCTCTGCTAGTGTGGTGTCAGCAGAAAGGAAAAGGAAGCTCAGCTTGCAGTCAGAGGTTTCCCTCCCTCCTGTTTCTATGTGATTGTTTGGTATTTCCATAAGCAGTCTATGCCTTTTGGTCTTCTGAGAAAGCATTTATCTGTGCAGGGACAGAGATAATACAGGGTCGGATATGTAGTAAATGCAAAATGAAATGAAACACTTTTTAGATAACTGAATTGAGTGAATTGCTCATTATGCCTCAATAGGCTTCTCCCTTCCTGCTTTTGACAATATTTAGCTAAGAGATGTGCCCAAGCCGCAAAGTTTGAAAACAAATCTGAACTTCCCCAGAGTTTGGGAGTGTCTGGATTCAGCAGTCTGAAGAGGTCTGGTATTATGGAGAGGTGGCAGACTCTCTATTCTTAAGGTTGTAGCCAGCTTCCATTATCAAACCCATTTTTTGATCTCCTACAACTTTGGTTCAGAAGATTTGGCCTGAAAATTGTAAAAATTACTCTGAAGTATATAAAAAATACTTCCATGTTATCAATCTGAGTTACAGATCACAAAATGATCTTAGTTTGAAATTCTGGCTTGTTTTTGATCCCTCGAGCTCAAAAGCACCTTGTTATAATCCCTGCTACTATCTCTTCAGTTTCTCCGTACAGTTTAATCTCCTTGAAAACTCAGGCACGGGGTATCTGAAGAAAGTGAAGCAACGCTATTAAATATTTTTGTTGTCTAGTTTTAGGCCCAATCCAGCCCCCGTGGATGTCAGTCTGAGTTTCTGTGATACTGTATAGGGTGTGAGAGCATATTGCCCAATTGCAACTCAAAAAGAACAGAAGGATATTTCTATAGCTATTGGCTGATTCCTGTTAACCATCGTGGAAATTCCGAGTGTCAAACAGACCCTTACATTGCGCAGAGGGTAATTACTTGAGTTAGAATTTAGCCAGGAGATCCAAATTAACATTCTTAATCTTGCAAAAAGTGATGCGGGGTTATTTCTAGTGGTTTACTTTTAAAAACTGGTAATAGCTTTCTTATTACGCTACTCTTGCACTCTCTCCTGAGCTACCTCATTTTGTCCTCACTGGGGAGTTTGCTATTCTCTGCTCCTTTTAGAGTTGGCTTGTTCAATAGATTTCAAGGCCAGAAGGGACCTTTGTGATCATCTAGTCTGACCTCCTGTATAACACTGGCAATAGAACTCCCCCAACATAATTCCTTTTGAACTAGAGCATATCTTTCAGAGAAACATCCAGCTTGGATTTAAAAATTACCGGTGATGGAGAATCCACCATGACCCTTGGTAAACTATTCCAATGGATAATTAGCCTTATTGCTATTCCTGTGCAATCTCTTTTGGAATGAGCACCCAGTTCCTGTATACTCTCTCTGTTCCATTTGACAGGAACTGACCTTAATTTACATTTTGGGGAGCTGTGGACTTAATGCTTAGCCTTAGGCAGAGAGGCCCAAGGCCTTGTGGTGAAGGCACTGGACTGGGTCTCAGGAAATCAGAACTTTATTCCTGGCTCTGCCACAGACTCCCTGTGTGACCTTGGGCAAGTCACTTTGCTTTCTTTCTGCCTCAGTTTCACCATCTGTAAAAGGGGGTTAATAGCACTGTCCTGCCCTGACAAGAGTAAGTTCATTCATGTGTATGATGTGCTCAAATATTACAGAGATAGGGTGCTGATACCGGTGACATGTGAAAGTAGGTATTGCAGGAGAACCTGACAGTGCAGTGTACCCCCATAGATTATATTGCTGCAGCACCCAAAATGTGCTACATGCTATACAAACACATAGTCCCTGCCACAAAGGTTTAAATTCTAAATAGACAAGGCAAGTGACCAGCCAATGAGAAATTGTTAAGAACACAGCACCACCCAGTCAGCACCACCACCTTCCTTCACCTCTGCCCAGATGCGCCAGCTAATCTGTTCTGCCCTTTCTGATCCAGAGTGAGAGTGCCCTCCTTCTGTCTGTTCACCCCGTGGCATAGATTCAGGAACAATCTAAAAGCCTGGGGGAAGGAAACAAAAAAATCTAACAGCCAGAGAATTCCCACATTATAGAAAGTGACCAACAGTGGGAAAAGTGACTGATAGTGTGTGGAGGGGCTTTCTGGCTGTGCGGGCAGAACCCTACATAGTTTCACCTGTCCCCAGCAGACTCTGGAAGCTTGTAGTCTGGGTTTAAATTGTTTAAATGTGTGAGTAATAGTAGGCCCATGTCTGAAAGGAAGGGCACATCCATTTCATCAAGTACAGATAAGAAAATGTGCTTTGGGCCATGCCCCAGCTTCTCTGAGCATCCTTGGATCCAACAGCAGCCTTGAATCTAACAAGAATCTTACATTGTGAAACTGTCATGTCAGAAATGATAGCTGCATCCCATCAATCCTAGGTGTTGATAGAATCCTCTGCAGACATTAAAACAGATTACCTGCATTACAGATTACCTCCATTACACTCATTGGAGTTATGCCAGTGGAGAATCTGGCCCACCACGTTTCTTAGGTGGACCAAGCAACAGCCAGCTAGAAAGCAATTGCCTTCACCTTGCATGTGCTATCTCAGTGGTTCTCAAACTTTTGTACTGGTGACCCCTTCCACAGAGCAAGCCTCCGAGGGTGACCCCCCTTATAAATTAAAAATACTTTTTAATATATTTAACACCATTATAAATGCTGGAGGCAAAGCGGGGCTTGGGGTGCAGGCTGACAGCTTGCGACCCCCCATATAATAACCCTGTGACCCCCTGAGGGCCCCCGACCCCCAGTTTGAGAACCCCTGTGCTATCTAAAGGAAAAAGGACGTCTGACCCAATGAAAGAATGCTCACCTCTGAAGTAATCCGGATTTACTTATGTGTTAAATGGATGGTGTTAATGGACCAAGAATCATTGGTCTGCCTTTTTGGGTTTGAAAACAGGGATGAAATAAAAAATTTGTTTTTAAAAAATTATCTTTCTGGCGCCCATGTCTGAAAATGTGACTCCGCTGTAACTGATGCAGCGGTGTCTGCCTGAATTTGCAGAGAGCCTGATACAATAGCAGGAAGAGCTGTAACTTGCTCCATGGCTCTGCTTGCCAAAGCAGTTGCTCCCAAGGAAGGGAGGGGTGGGAAACAAGACAGCCCAGACAACCCCTTCAGCCCAGATTTTAAAGTCCCCTCCCCACCTGCCCATGCACGGGAGCCACCCCAGCTGGGGCTGGCTGCAGAGGACCGTCTGGGCGGATCGTGTGCACGAGCCACTCCTGCCACGTGGCGGCGCGCGCGGGACTCGAGGCCAGGCGCCGGGAGGGGGCCCGACAGGCAGGCGCGCGCCGACGCCGGGGAGAGGCCCGGAGCGCGCGCGCGCGCCGCGGTAGTTTGGGCGCGCGGGGCTGCCGTAGGAGCATGGCGTTGGGCTCGGAGGCGCTGCGGGAGCGGCCGGTGCAGCTGGCGCTGGTGTTGGCCTTCGCCTCGGGCGTGCTGGTGGGCTGGCAGGCCCACCGCGTGCGCAGGCGCTTCCTGGCCTGGAGGAAGCGGCGGCTGCAGGGGCTGCTGGAGGCCACGCAGAAGAAGCTGGACGTGGCCTGAGCGGGGGCCGGCGGGCGGCGCGGCTCTGGCTGGGGGCGGTGCCCTGGGTCCCTGCCACGCCCGGCGAGTGGGGCGGCCCGGACTGTCCCCCCCCGGGCCTCACCCGTGTCACAGCCCGAGCCTGGGCCGGTGGGGAGGGCCAGGATTTACCGCCAGCAGCTAAGTCGTGTGTAAAGCCCAGCGGCCTTGCTTAAAGCCCTGCCTCAGGTGTGTGGGTGTTAACACGGTAGGAACGCAGCTCTCTCTAGTGTAGACGCGGCCAGCCTCTGGCGGGTGGTGCCACGCCCCCCGACTCAGGGTAAAGCAGGGGCTCTCAAACTTCTGTACTGGTGCCCCCTTTCAGATAGCAAGCCTCTGAGTGTGACCCCCCCCTTATAAATTAAAAACACTTTTATATATATTTAACACCATTATAAATGCTGGAGGCAAAGCGGGGCGTGGGGTGGAGGCTGACAGCTTGCGACACCTCCTCCCCCATGTAATAACCTCGTGACCCCCTGAGGGATCCTGACCCCCAATTTGAGAACCCCTGGTGTAAAGCAAAGTGAAGCGCTTGTGTAAGTGTGCGCAGATCGGGGCCTGAGGGTACGTCTGCATGGCAAAAAAACAATACCCACAGCAGCAAGTCTCGGCCTTGGGATCAACTCACTAGGGCTTGCATCCAGCTAAAAATAACAGTGTAGACGTTCCTGCTCCAGTTTGGAGACTCAGCCCCCTCTGGGTTTCCGAGCCCAGGCTCCAGCCTGAGCTGAATGCCTACGTTGTTATTTGTAGCCCTGTGGCATGATCCCAAGTCAAGTGCCCCGGGCTCTGAGACTCGCTGTTACATGGTTTTCTTTGCAGTGTAGATGTATCCTGAATTTCTGTTGGTCCCTCAATGTCAAAGCTCCCTCCTTCGGGAGCCAGTTTCCTTGAGACAGTCATCTTATTCTCATTCCCTAATACTAGGGAATAATTTACTATTTTAACATCATCTTAATAAAATTTTTAAATTTGTTTCTATAAACATTGACAATTTGCCATATAAAGATTTTGTTTTTAAATATCTAGGATTTTTTCTTGAGTAAGGGGCTTATCACAATTATTAGCCACTCCGAGACCTAGCAAACTTGTATGGGTATTGGGGTGAAGGCATTGCTTTTAGCTGCCTCTTTCTGGTAACAGGCTTACAACAGTGTGGCAAAATACAGTAGAACCTCAGCATTACAAACACCTCGGGAATGGAGGTTGTAACTCTGAAATGTTCATAACTCTGAACAAAACATTATGGTTGTTCTTTCAAAAGTTTACAACTGAACATTCACTTCATACAGCTTTGAAACTACTATGCAGAAGAAAAATGCTGCTTTTAACCATCTTAATTTAAATGAAACAAGCACAGAAAGTAACCTAACCTTGTCAAATCTTTTTTAATAACTTTCCCTTTTTTTAATAATGTATGTTTAACACAGTACTGTACTGTATTTGCTTTTTTTGTGTCTCTGCTGTTGCCTGATTCCGTATTTCTGGTTCCAAATGAGGTGTGTGGTTGACCCGTTAGTTTGTAACTCTGAAGTTCTACTGTACATAGTCTTAGGTGGCTAAGCCAGGCTCTTATTTATTTATTTAATTTAATTTCTGACACATGAATTTTGGTCCATTGATTTCTGGTTCCACACTGTTTTCGTTTACCAGGAATGATCTTAACACAGTCCTTGAATTATATTAGTAAGCTTTGTTTGTATTAATTCAGTTAATAAATTAATAAAGGTAGGCCCAGTTATCACAAGAGCTGAGACTTATCTGTCACATACAGTTCCTTATGCAAGCCCTATTTACAATATGGAAGTGGAAGGGAGAAATGAGAGGAAGAACAACGTTTTGGCCTATGTAGGGAATGGCATGTTCCTGCTCCTTCACAACAGTCTAACAGTTGCAGGGATGTATCTCTTGGGGTGACTGGATACACCTTTTGTCATGTACAGTCAATTAAAAATCCAGTTTCTTATTTAAGCCATAAGTACACAATGGAAGTGGAGTGAGGGCATGATGTATCAGAGCATACTGCACAGGAACTAAGCATCAGGTTGATGAGTGGCATGTCCCAGCTACTTCAGAACAGTCTAAAGGCAGCAGGGAGGAATCATATGGGGTGATTTGAGACTAATTTCATCACGTACAGCCAGTCAAAACCCAGTGCCTTAATTATTTAATTCAGGGGTTCTCAAACTGGGGGTCAGGACCCCTTGGGGGGTTGCGAGGTTATTACATTGGGAGTCGCGATCTGTCAAGCTCCATCCCAAACCCCACTTTGCTTCCAGCATTTATAATGGTGCTAAATATATAAAAATGTGTTTTTAATTTATATGGGGGGGTCGCACTCAGAAGCTTGCTATGTGAAAGGGGTCACCAGTGCAAAAGCTTGAGAACCACTGATTTAATTCATAAATAATGAATTAATTAGGAATTTTTTATCACATCCAATCATGCTAATTTGATATTTCTAAAAATGTAATCTTACATTGATATATTTTCAAAGTAATTTTGACCTTTGAATAAGGAACCAAGGAACCACGTAACCACTTAGTAAGGAACTCGTGCCAAGTAAAAGGAACCGGGAATAAAGAGTCAACTTCAGCCTCCTCGGGGTTAGAAGGATTGTGTCCCTCCAACCCTACACAGCTCCCATGTATAAAACTTGTTTTACTTGATCTTTGCATAGGGCATTGTGGGTTTTTGTTTTGTATTACTGAATACAGAGAGACTATTGCATCTCACTTCAGATACTGTCTAGTTCAGGCTAGTTTTCTATTGGGAGCCTGATTTAAAAAATAGATAAATCTACCTCTCCTGCTCCCCCAAAAAACTTAAAACAGTATTTGAAACATTTACATGTGTGGAACTCTGATAGGGGATACGCTTCGGGGGGGTGGGGTGGGGAGGAGAGGCAGAGAGGGTGGAAAGGGGAGGGTTGGTGTTTGGACAAAGATGTTCCTGAGATTGGACCATTTGAAAAATCAGAGCTGCTTCTCTCAGCAAGGGTTTGAAATGCAAAAGAGCTCCCATTTTCAAGTTACCATGTGGCCTGACGTGGGAATGCACTGCTGGCACTCATGTATATCTCAGTCTTGTCTGTCTGACTCTCCTCTGCAAAATGTAGTGAAATTATCTCCATCAGATATTAAATGTAAATAGATCATATATTTGACTGTTACAACATAGTTTATTACAGCACACTCTAAATTCCTGACAATCAAGGTTGCTTTATTGTAGTCTCTAAATCTAAATAACAATCTGGAAATACTCAGTTAAAGTGCTAACAGCATTGAGCTTACTATTTAACTACCATATACTAAACTTGATTTTCACAAACTTGTCTCTTAATAACTGAAATATTGTAATGGTGCTGTAAATAGATTCATTTATCTTTGCTCTCGCATAAAGGTTGGTTTTTGGTTGTGAGCATACACGGAGCAGATGTAGCTGTTAGGGACTATGGGCTTGTATTGGTAAATATCTGGAAACATTTTTGTTCGCATCAAAAATGTCCAATAATGGAATTTTTTTGCAAATGAAATTTTGAGGGAACACCAGTGATTTTGGGTACATTTTTAATTAAGTCTTTCTACCTTAATATTTTTGACATAATATATTGTTTCTGTCACTTTCCCTTTGGTTACTCAATGTTCTGTCTGCCCCCTTTTAATATCTCTTACATCTGATTTTCTTCTTTTATTTTTGATACATTATAATCTGACTGAACATTGTTTTGATCACCTTTGCTATTTAAATTAAAAAAAAAACCCAAACAAACGTGAAATTATGTGCAATTTGTAATTTTTCACTTTCTTTTAACAGCCTTAGACAGATGAAAGCTGACAACTGACTGAAAATAAATGGACTTCTGCTGCATTTGTGTCTAAACACAGTTTAAAAGATGGACTTTAAAAAGAAATGTTTTGATAAGCAACCGTATTCTAAAAAAGAAGGCATCTGTGGTATCATACAATCTCATTTGCCCAAACTGACATCAGCAAAGCTTATCTTCACATGTATCAGAATAACCTAGCCACCAAAATGTTATGGGGTGAGCTTAATTAATTCATATGTATTATGACTGTGCAAACCTGTCACATTATGTTTTTAAGGGATGTTTGTGTCTGTTTTGCTTTGTGACTCTTAAGGCTCGTCCTGAGCTACATTTGACCCTTATATTTTAATAAATTAAACTAAAAGTGATATAACTTAAGTTACTTACTAGTAATTTGTAATAAAGTATCTCTTAAGTGGGGAGTGAAAACATGTAAAGATTCTGATGTTAAACATTTTAGAACTTTGAAAGTATACAACCCAAAAGGGTTGGTCAAAAAGATTAAGGCAAAAGCATACTAGTGTAGACTGATAAGATAAATTCGTATATTAAATCAGTAATGCTGGGGTTCTTGTCTGAAATTCAGCAAAAATAGTCAGAGAATTCGATGTCTAGATCTCTTACCAACTCCATAACTAAGAATACATCAGCCCTGTATACTTACTGTGCCACATCATCACTTCCAGCAAAGATGCTGGACATCATGAATTAAAATCCTTGGGACTTCCTTTGTGATTAATTTTGCTGGGCCTCATGCTACATATGTCAGCCATCCCTATCTTTCTGTTACTTCCATGCATACGTGCACAGCTTTCCCCTCCAAAAAAAAAAAAAAAATCTCCTAATCAACACATTTTTAAAGTGTTTCTATCTTGTTCTCCTTTTATGTTTATAAGCAGATGGCAACCCCACATTGTGCCAAAATAGTTAAAGGCTATGTAGGTTCAGAATTCATTCCCTGCCTTTAGCTTTAACTTTATTAATAAGCTAATGCAAAAATAGAAAAAAGCCCAGACAGATTCTGCCCATGCCTTCTACCCAAGCTTGGCTGTTCTTATGATTTTTCTCTTAGGACTGGTGAGACTTAGACCATTGATTTCCAAACTGTTTACTAAGGTGACCCACCAACAGCATTTTGTCTTCTTGTTTGCAACCCACCCTTACATATATGCACCCTCTGCCCTTGCGCTGCAATCTGAATCCCGGCCCAGTGCAGAGGGGAAGCCTGGACAAGGGGGGTTGGAGAGCAAGCCCACTATGCACTCACCCCTCTGGGTCGGCTCTTGTTCCATGGCACTAGGCTTAGCTCTAGCTCTCTGCTCCAGGTGTTACAACCTGGTACACAGTGTGTCAGCACCACTCAGGTTTGGAGGGCAGCCAGTGGATCTGCGACCCCATGTGTCTGGTTGCAATCCCCAGACTGGGGAGCCAGGCCCAACCTCGCAGGACAGAAGCCACCACGGTGGGGTGAGTGTGGGCCAGCCTCACTCTCCAGTCCCCTCCTCTCTGCACCTGGCTGGTAAAGTGTATGTTTGCCTAGTTCAAGGCCCAGTGATGAGTAAACCTGTTCCTGGACACAGTGATCCATACAGAACCTTCCTGAGACCCACCAGTTGGAAAACACTGGCTTAGATTCCTCTGATCAGGGGGCCACTCTCACTTCACTTATACCCAGAATTAGTTAACGAGGTGCACCATCCGTCAGAGCTCCAATGCCTTCTAACATAGGGGGTCAATGAACCCAGCTGCTGTGTAACAATGTCATTCAGAATCTTGAAATGTTGACTTATCCAAGTTGGAAATCTTGTGTCCTTTATAGCTGAGATGTAGCTTGGTTACAGAAGTTTTCTGTGTAATGCTGTATCAGGCTGATTTAGTGGTGATATGGCATACGCTTGCGGGCATCCTGTGCAAAGTGGAGCTGAGGTCAGGTGTTTTAATGTCATTTATTGGAAGACATGGTTCATGTGCTAGCTCAGACTTTGCACTTACTGACATGTTAAAATATAATTGTACTTATATTTATTAAAGCACCCAGGATTTTTTTATTTTTTTTTGCAATGGATTATTTGTTATGTTTTTAATGTGTACCTAGTATTTGTTTCTGGAAAAGGTAAAAGGAAGAAAAAAAGAGATGGTAGATATGACAATTTGGGATTTCTGTATAGTGGCTTGAATAATTCTTTGGATACATCAGCACAGTTTTTTCTAAATCTGGTGTTGCATACATCAGCGTAATTAATCATTTTAATACGATTACAAAGGAGTTTTTTCTCACGCCTTGTCAATAACCCTAAAAGTGTTTTTTAAAAAATCATTAAAATAAAAACAGTAAACCCTCATGTGGAAAGGGCACATGATCGTTTGATCTCAAGTACATGTTGTAACTTGACAACACTATTAATTCTATGTACATCTCTGCTGCATTTCCTTATCTAATACTTTGGAAACAATTAAACAGCAAATACTGAAGTGCATGAGCTGTTTAGAGTTCAGAGGGAAGCAATGTCAGATCACCTGCTAGGAAAAAAATTCCTCTGAATATGTCAAATTAATGTGAAAAGGCTACGAAGAAAATTAAATTGCTTCTTCCATGGCTCAGTCGGTGTGAGAGAGAAGAATTCCAGCAGGTGCATGGCTAGAATTTCTGCCTGCAACACAGCCCGGCTGTGCAGACTGTAAGTCTCTTTTTGTAGTAGGGTGGGTCCGTCCTGGTCCATGAGTGGAGCTCTGAAGTGCTATGCTATGGCAATAACAACAACAAGAAGTTTGGCAGAATTTAATTTTTATTTTGTATAATTTTGGGGGATAATGTAGATGTTTATCTCTGAGCCTGTTTTCAAATGTATAGCTATTTAAATTGTCGTTCCCCACAACTGAGACAATCATTATTCACTGACGGTCTCTAGACATTCTCAAGCAGCATTTTTCTTTGCTTCCCTTTACCCTGGGGGGGGGTGGGGTGTGTGGGTGTGTGTACACATGCACCCACAGCCGCCTAGGGTGTGAAATCAGCAGCACCCACTGGTAGGGTGACCAGATAGCAAATGTGAAAAATTGGGACGGGGGTGGGGGATAATAGGAGCCTATATAAGAAAAAAACCCCAAAATCGGGACTGTCCCTATAAAATCGGGACATCTGGTCACCCTACCCACTGGTTACCATCCCAGTCCCGCCAACTAACCTAGACACAGCGCTGAGAGCTAGGCTCGCGCAGACTACAGCCCCCAGCATGCACTGCTCGCCGGGCTCCGAGCGAGGCCTGGTGCGGGGGGAGCGCGCCTTTCGGGCCCCAGTGCATTCTGGGAGGTGTAGTCTTTGCCCGTGACTCAGGAACGGGAGAAGCCCGCCAGCCCCGTTGCATGCTGGGACGCGTAGTTCGCCTCTGTCTCCGCAGCGGGCTCCCCCGCCCTCTGATGTTCGGGACCGCGCGGCGATGACGACAATTCTTAGCGCCCAAGCGTTCGTCTCCTTAGCGACGATGTCCGGGCGGAGGGGCCGGAGCCCGCTGCAGGGGGCTCAGCGGCGGGGCCGCGAGTTGCGGCAGCAGGTACCGCCCGTCCCGCGCACCCCCGCCCCGAAGCTACAGCGCGGGGAGCGGCGCCCCCTGCCGGCTGGGTTGGGGGGATCCAGTCTGGGCAGGGGGAGCGGCGCCCCCTGCTGGTGGGGTTGGGAGGATCCAGTCTGGGCAGGGGGAGCGGTGCCCCCTGCCGGCAGGGTTGGGGGGATCCAGTCTGGGGAGGGGGAGCGGTGCCCCCTGCCGGCGGGGTTGGGGGGATCCAGTCTGGGGAGGGGGAGC